TGATTTCACGAAAATATATTTAATGTTTTTACTTTTAAATTTAGAAAAATTGTACAAAATACATAATCTGACTATAATAACTTTATCAAAATAAGACAAGAGTAATCGTAATTTAATTTCATACACTAAGTATATTACGTTACTAATAAACGTAATTAATATTACGTTTAAAAAATATCGATACTATGCTTATTGTAAAAATAATAAGTTAATATATATAAAAAAAAAAAATTGGATATCTTTAGTAAAGTATGTTCACGTCCAATGGCATAGGAGAATGCGAAAGTGATAAAGACAATTTCATTTAGTGCAGCTATTAGAAACAAGCAAGAGTACTTTCAACTTCTGGACTGTATGATGTCGTTGGCTCTCCAAAATACGAACTTTCTTGTTGATCTTATAGAAAATGTAGGTATTTTGCCCATTTCAGTGGCTATTCACTTAACAATCTGTGGTGGAAATGGATACTCAATCGTCTACAGAGTTAAGCGAGTCTACCTGCAATTTCCAGTTATCCTCAATGACCCTGACAAGATTAAACTTAATTGTCTGTCTCCGGTGATTCGACACTCTTTGACCTTTAGACTTGTTGTCTATGTACATCAGCCCTCGCGATCTACACATACCGCATTCGCAAGTTCGCTTTCTTTTTTTCTTTCTTCGTTTTACTTCTACAAAGTTAATTAACTCATTTTACCATAACGTCATGCCTTAATGTGTCTTATTATAATTGTAAATTACAATTTAACAAAAAGTCAATCAATAAATTTATGTACGTAAGAAATAAATGTAGTTGTGAATTATACATAAAAAAATTATACATAAAAAAATTATACTTAACAAATATATGATAGAATTTTTATAAATTAATTAATTATTAAATAAATTTGACAAAAATTCATTACTTATATAATTCTTATTATATCGAATTCGTAATCAATATTAGTTTTAAAACGAGTTTTTTAAAGTCATTACTATATATATTTTATCAAAGTAAGAATATTAGTAGGATATAATATATTTATCAATATTATTAAAATATTTAAAACACTGTAATTCAATGCATGGAAATGCACACACACAAAATACACGCGCGCGCGCGCGAGCGTAATCTAATACAAAACGAATTTCGTAAGTATATAAATTTCGTTATGTATTGTTTATTTATGTGTGAATGTGTACTGCATTCTACACGTCTGTCCATTGGCGCACCCACATATATCCACACATTTCTTCTTGCGCGCCTAAGTATTAGTTATTCAATTAATTGTACCTAATATTACTCATTTGAATGTCATTACATGCATAAGAACATGTAATATTAAGTACGAACAATTATTAAGTTTTATTTTATGTTTATAATGTATTATTTAAGAGCTTCGAAAACTTTTGTACTAAAACTTAAATAAATTGGTTTAGAGATAATTTTATTTCCTGAAATTATATTATTTTAAGAGTACTTTGCTCAATTTTCATATTCGATCGATTAAATTCTTCAAATTGTGGGGTTGCATGTAACGATCTTTTAGGAATTTGTTCGTGATAGTTGAGAATTATTGTGTAATATTTAAGAATAATAATAACTATTATTAGCGTTAAAAAATCTATTATTAATTAATATAAGGGAGATTATACTATATTCGAGCTTTTGAACATCATGTTTGAATTGCTTCAAATATTTTAATAATATTAGTCAAACTACCATAACAATATTTTTCTATTTCTCTGACTATATATTTAACGGAAAAATATGAATATTAATAACTATTAGAAATGTCACATATATTTTTAGTTTTTTTCCTTTTTTAACTATTCATATTTTTAACTTTATTCGAATGAATGCACGATTTTTATAGAAATATAAATTCAATATAAAACATTAATATAAAATGTGAATGCTATTATGTGCCGTAAGATATAGTTGAAAAACTTGAAAAGATTATTAAAACTAAAATCGAAACGTTGCTGCCATTAAAAATATTTTATATGCATTTTTGGAAATTAGTTTAAAATAAGGTTCTATAGACGTTTTCGAATGGAAAATTGCCTGCTTCATTCATAGTTTTTATTTTAAAAGTTGACAAATTTACTCCATTGAATCGATCATGAACAATTGTCAATTTTAAAAAAAAACTTTATTTAGAATTTTGTCAAAATTTTTTTTTATTTTTACTTATATTCATACAAAAAATCTAGTATTCACAAAAAAATTTTACCTTCTTCACAAATGCTTATTGAATTTAAATTTATTCGCAAGGATATTTTTAGTAATTAGCAGAAATTTCACATTTTAAATTAATTTCTATAATACATATATAATAGTGAGATCATGCATTAATATTTTAAGACTTAAGTATGATTTGAAGAATAAATTATTAATTAGTATTCAACGAGTTTTTTAAATAATAACACTATATGATTATTTTTTATGTATTTAATAATTTATGTACATCCTAATAATTAATCTATAGCTTGTAAATAAGTATGATATATGTAATACCAATCGGTGAAAGTAATCAAACTAATTACTAAATTGACAATTAATTACGATTAAATTAATACATAATTTATCAAAGAAATAAATCATAAAATACTACGATTAATCTTTGCATTTAAATTTTTATATTTTTAATTATATATTAAAAAAAGAAAGAAAGAAGAAATGACGTGTATGTAATGACGAAATACATTAATAAAATGATATAATCAGTTTAGCATTATATATTTATCTTTTTTTGATTGCCGCTCGGATTTTTCATAATTATCAAAAATTTACCCAAATAAGCAAAAGAGATATTTGAACAGTAAAACTAATATGTAGAAGAAATATAATTAGTCTTTTATCATGAATATTATTTTATGAATAGATTAAACGAAGAATAGAGTTAAAAACAGACAGATGTACCTCCTCGGATTAAACACACTGATTTGTTTCGCTTCAATATGCATCTGATTTATGTACCGGGGGTCACCCAAAAAAAAAAAAAAAAAAAAAAAAAAAAACATCCAATCAGATTACTTTTATTTCATATTATGCAATACTCGACTAACGAAAAACTTAATACAGTTGTATTCTAAAACAATATTGGCTGTTATACACTAATAGGTTAGGCACCATTAGGTGCCTGTTGTACTAACGTCTAATTATTTATTATATTTGTATTTTCCTTAATATTTTGCAAATAATTTTAGTTTGTTCTATGAACTGACTTTTTCTTTTCCTCACGAAATTCGAATCCATTCGAGATTTATGAAATAGTAAAAATTTTTGAAAAAAAACTGTACATCCTATTTGTTTAATTTTATTCAAATTTATTTATTGTATGCAATCTAATGTCATTTCTTCAAATCCAAGATTCCTCCATTTTCTTTATGAAGTATTAATTTTTGCTGCATATCTTGCTACATGAATGCGTATGGACATACAAATGTACGCAAGTTTTATATCTTATAAATAAGCCTATATTAAAAAATATATTAAAAGGTATTTATATTAAATTTGATATATTAAATTAGAAATTTTTAATTATTAAATATGAATGAGTACAGTGATATTTTATATAATGGAATAATACATGGAATGATACGATTTTCTAGTTCGTTTGTATTTGAGTAAAAAAATAATGATAATTTTTTAGATGAGTTAATAGAAATAATTTGTGTATAGTATTTCACATTTTTTTTTTAATTTCAAATTTAGTTCGTAATGCGATATTTATAAAATTTTTATTTCTGAACAAAAAATGAGACGAATGATTAAAATTCTTTAATAACTATTAAATTAACATAGTACTTTAATATATTTAATACAATGAAATTTTGACTAAATCATATTATTGATAATCTATTTTACGTAATTACGTATAAATACGTACAATATATAATATCAGCATATTACCAAAATTTTAAATAAATCATTTTGCCGTTTTATCTCTTATGACTATTTAATTGCATATGATATATATATATATATATATATATATATATATATATATGTATATGTCAGGCATACATAAACACTATTCTATGTATACTACAAATACATATATAAGCATTTTTAAGAAAGTATTAAGCATTGTATAAAAGATATTAAAGTGATAAAAGTTATTAAATGTTATACAGTATCTTCTTACTGTGCATTGTTGTTAACAAGACTATTAGATTTATTAGAAAAAATTTTTTTTTAGTTAATAAATTTAGTCTCTCAATTTCTATTCTTGTTTCAATAAGGAAATACTAATGTTTTTATTAAAGGAAATTCTTATGTTTTCATAAATGTTTTAATTTTTATTTAAGTGTTTGAACAGAATAAATAACGTTTTAAAAATAATATAATTACAGAAATTGATGAGAACGAACTTATTTAATAGATATTTATTTGATAATTAAATAATAATAAAAAATGTTTAGATAAATATGTTCGAATAAAAACTATAATTTGATGTGAAGTTTTAATTAACGCTTTCTAAATAGAATTCTCAAGTTCAATTAAAGTTCTATTGATATTATTAAGAAAGTTTGTACTGGAATTGCGACAGAATTAATTAATATTAAATTTTTATCTCTTTTAAGTAATGTGTTATGTCAATAAATTATTCAATTGATTTGCATTCTTAATATTGTTATAAATAATTTTTTTTTTCTTTGATTATTATTTATCTTATACATAAAGATTAATGGAAGAAGGAATGGTATATTCGAAATAATATATTTTAAGAATATAAGTTATATTTAGAATAATTATATTACTTAATGTTAAAAGGTTGTCAAAGGTAATCGATAAAATGTTCAAAGACTGAATTTAAAAATTTGAAAAAATATTTTATTCACTTTATTTACTTGATAATTTTCCCAACCATATAATATTGGGATCTTATACGAATTTGCAAAAACTGAGTTAATTAATTTACTTTTCTTCTGGGAGGATTGAATTTGCAGTACCTAAAAGAAAAACAATTGTTTATAAACTTCGTAAATTTTTTTATATTAATACATTTATACGTAATTATACTTACTATTAGATTTGTTGAATTTTTCATCACATGCTTTTTGACAATATGGCTTTTGGATTTCAATCAGGTCTATTTTTTAAAAGAGTAATACATTTAAAAAGCGTGTAAATACATATTATTTCAAATAACATAATATGAATTGCTTTTAGCCACAATGGTTAATTATCTATAGTTTTTAATAGTATAATTGCTACTATGTACTATATATGCATATAGAGAAAATATAATCATTTATATTTTGAGCTTTATTTATTTCAATAATTAGATCAAAATTTGTAAAATTTTGCATATATTATATTATTTTATATATAACAATGTGATTTCATTTCATACTTTTTTGCCTTTATTTAATCGAATAATGTAAATTATTCGATCGTAAATCTAACTTTGAATATATTTATTCATAATAATAATAAATTATATTTTACGCATATTAATATCAATTATTGATAAATATATTTTAATTATTATATTAAAAGACAAAGAAACATTCAATTCAGAACTCTATAATACAGTTCAGAATTATTTCAATTATTAAAAATCTCTTTTTGTTATATGCATATATAAACAATTACCGACAACATGTAAGAGTACATATGATCTATTTAAATTTATATAATATAATATATCCGTATTCTATAGATAATTATTTTATTACTATATTTGTATATATATTAGATGTATTAGAGCTGTAATTTTTAATAATATATAATATATCTTACTATTACAAATCTCGTAGCAAATTGAATGCGTTATAATGAATTTGTTAGCTAGAAAGTAAACAAAAAATAAATTAATGTAGTATTAAAATTTATTTTAAAAAGTTTAAAAGTTTAAAAAACGTTTATATTGTTATATTTATATTTTACTTACGAAAGACAAATTTCTGAATACAGAATTTTTTACAATTTAGCCGATACAATGATGGAAGCGCTAAAATAAAATAGATAAGAAGTTTAGAAAAATCATTTACGATAAGTTAAAAGTTATGAAAAAATATTTTATACCATATATATTACAGAATGTTTATAAAAAAATTTTGAATTCATAATTTGGAAAGTGATACATTAGATTTTATATATTGCATCATTATATTATACATAGTATTCTCTACCTCGAACGTACAAAGCGCTTTGTTATTTAATATAAAAGATTAGATAGAGGAATTTTTTGCGAATATTTAGAACATATTGTGTTATTAACGATATTTTATAAATTTTTTTTTGAGGAATTTGAGATTGTAGACGAGTGTTTTATTTTTCTGTCTTCAAAATATTTTACTCTCTCAAAAGAAGGTCGAAGGAAATATAATTGAAAATATCGAAATAAAATTAATATGCGAAATGAAACAAGATCCCAATTAATTATGGATACCAAAATAATTCGTCAATAAATTTCTATCATTTTCTCTATTTGCCAATATTTTATTTTTATTTATTATGTAAGAATATAAAATATATATGTATAGATATATGAGCATACAGAAATGTCTGAACATGAGATAGGTTTATCTGAAACTTTCTCGAATGAGAAAGTAGAAATGTCAACAGCCATTGTGCTGTGCATCACAGATTTTCTATATATTTGCAAAGTATGAAAAGAAAGTATGAAAAAAATTAGAAAATTATAATACATTGATAATGTTCATAACTTTTTATGATTTTAAACACTTAATAACTCTTAAAACTTTTAGCAAAACCTTGAAATTTTATCTCAATTCTCATTTGCATTCCTTTTTTTTTCTCATTTGTATTACATATTTATGTTAGTAAAGTAGTTGTTTTAATTTACTGCTTTCTAACTGAAAATTAAATTAAAATGTTTGTAGTGATAGTTAAATAAGTGTATGGTATATGGATCAATCTTAAAACCAATTTATGGTAAGCTAATAATTTGTGGAATCTCATATAATATTATAAAGTGTATTAAATATTAATTGTGGAAATTAATATTTTTGTTTAACATTACTAACAACATATAAATATGATAATAAAATTTCAAATTAATAATAAAATACATAATTATATGTACATAATAAAACGTATAATAAAAATTTATATTAAAATTTTTTTTAAGCCTTACCAATAACATACATATACTTAATTATATAATTAATAAAAGCATAGCTTACTATCACATGCATGAAAACATTCGTTTGTTGATGCGTTCACTAACGAAATAAAGTAAATAACTAATAAAAGAATTAAAGAAAATTTCATTTTAAATAATATTAACGATATGAAAATTTTAATCTGCAATCCGAAGCAAACGATAACAGTAACTGTGTAATTCAATTTTGTAGTTAAACCAAGATTGCTCAAGATGCTTATTATATAGTACAAATACATTGATATTAAGTACAGAGGCGATATGTATCATGCTTTACAAATATTTTCTTAAAAATAATGTTACATTAAGTATTGCCCGTACATGAAATCACAAACAAGTATTGCTTCTTACATTTCGTTCTTTCATAATTTCTTGTGTACATAATTGTACACACTTAAAGCCACCTTATTTGTCAAATATCAATATCATTTTAAATTCAATGTGCATTTTAAATGGTTAGATTAAAAGTGAATTTATAATAAGCGAATAATTAATTTAATAAAAATATCTAACAAAGATAATAAATAATATTATATTATATTTCAAATCCTATAGTTATGTAAAATACATAAAAATTTTAATCATAAATTAAACACATATCAATGAGTTTTTCTAAATATGGTATAAATTAATTTATTTATTATAGTAATGTTTTTAATATAAAGAGTAAGCTGGTAATTTACATGTACATAATATTAATGAATGTTAATTATATTATTTAATAAATAAAATCAATTAAGTAATTTTCAATATTCATATACTACTGCTTTAAATTAAAACTTCATTGGAAAATGAGAATAATTCAAATAATTATAAATCATAAAATCAATTGTAAATTATGTATAAAATTACAACAAAAATAAAAATTATAATTTTAAAAATCATGCATATCTATTTTTGTAAATCAATCATTTTTCTTCATCTTTACTTTTTTTACAAGAAAATGTTGCCTAATTGTATCATTAATTAATATATTTTATTTCAATCATTTAAAATAATAGTAAAAAATGTAGTAAATATAGTATTGTATTGATTTTTAGATTATATAGATGAAATATTATGTGCGTCATTAGGGAAGATGTTTTTGATAAATTTACATACAATTTTAAAAATATTTCTCTAGTAGAGAGTGAACTATTAAAAATTTCGAGAACACTGTAATATTATAATGAGAGAATATTTTCAGTCTCATAATATTAATTCATGTTAGATTTTCGTAAATAATTCCATTGAAAAAGCTTATTTCAAGCATTATAATAATTTTTCATTAAATTTTATTTTTATATAGCGCTCCATATGTATTATATTGATAATACGAAAGCAAACGATATAGAAAAATCCTGAATAAATACTAGAGTTGATTAATTTTGAAAAATAGTTTTGCAGATGTTGTTTGATCCTATTTATCATAATTACAATGAAATAACTTTCATTTTCCGTATGTATATAGCAATAATATCAGTTACTATAGTTCTATGACTAGAATTAATAATGTAAAATTATATAAATAGATTACAATAAAGTATAGATGTACATGTTATATTCATGACAAAATTAGTTGTTTTTGTATAGTCAACAATAGGAGTCTATCATTTACAGATTATAATAATAGAACTGGAATGTTCATTTATTTTATATTATATATACCATTATAGAATTGATAATACTCGACTATTTTTCTAAAATATCTGAAGTCTATAACAAAAATTGTTTATTGCGAATTAGTAGTTTGCACTATAAAGAAGAACGTGGTAATGAAATGCATTTTCAACGAATGGATTTACAAAGAATGGATAATAAGGAGGTAAAGGGACTAAACGAGGTAAAAATTAATTTCAATTTTGAATTTTGTATAAATATTATTGTCTTTAACGTATTATTTGTATTCTATGACAGAGAAAATCATTTAAACAAATAATATTCAATAAAATAACAAAATTCAATAAAATACAAATTTATATTTATTGACTAAAGTGATACACATAATTTATATTATATATCATACATATGCGCTTATCATTATTCTATTTGGATTATTTTTGCATGATGAAATAGCCTATTGGAGTTTGCGTAACATAATTTTAGTAAATATAATTTTTTAAATAATTAACTATAAGAGAAATAATATATAAAAGTTGAAACATTATACACAAATTCATTAACTTATTATTGAGTATTATATTTCTACGAAATCCACTCATAATATTTAATTTTACTTTTACTTTATAAACAAAACCTTATATAAATTTATATTAAAGTTTTTCTTTTAAGATTTCTTAGTTCTCTATTTCAATAACAATAATATAGGCCTTCATTAATTCAAATAATAATAATTTATTTGTAAATGAATTCTGAAAATGGCTCATTCATATGTTAACATATTAAATTGAAATTATTGATGAAGGGATTTAATAAACATACACGATAAATATAAACTGAAATGAAATTGTGTAGTTCGATATTAGTATTTATTATTCTATTCGTTATAACATAGTTCATTTTCATTAATATTAAAAATCGGGCTTCATTAAATATGCATTTTTAAAAAGTTCCTTCTTTGGAATTATAATTAGTAAAATATAAATGATATCACGTGAAAATTAATCTGTCAATAATATGTTAAAACCAAACGAAAATTTTTATTTAGAAGTTTATTAAGATTGAGAGCTCAAATGTTTAAAATATGTGCAGCGAAATATTAACTGAATTTTACAATGAAAGTGAATTATATTGTAAAAAATTTCTTTTGCAAATTATTATTATTATTATATTATTATTATACGAAAAACATTATTACACTAGGTTGCAGTTATATATGATTCTTAAATTTTTAAATCGCACGCTATGAATTATTATTTATTAGATTTTAATTAAGATTACAGTTCAAAGTTGAAATACATTAATTTTTCTAACTCGATCATAAGAAATCAATGAAATTATATTTGAAAATTGAAAATTACTATAAATATCATAATATTCATTATTTACAGTATTTTCAAAGTAATTATTAAACAACTTTCAAAAAGCTTATGAAATTATCGTTTATTTAAGATAATATTATTATTATATATGCAAAACTTAATACGATCGACTGCCTTCAAAATGTAATATATTACAAGTTTTTTTTTTTTTTTTTTTAATTTAAGTGTTCATAATATGTGTACAAGTATTATAATCTTTTGGGAATAAACTTGCTAACCTTTTATCTTGAAATTTACATAAATTAAATGGATTGTTACTCAAAATTGCATCTTTATTACATTTCTCTTTATTGCTAATTAACTATTTTCATTAATTTACATCAATGCATTCGTATATCTCTATGATATATCATTTCATATATTCACGGAAGAATACAATGATTGTTTAAATATTTTATTAGAGAATTATACATTAGTAAACAGTTGAAACAATTTTCTGTCAGTGTGCTTAAAGATGTATTTCACAATACTTTAAAATGATATGAGTAAAAAATGTTTGTTACGATAATTGAGAAGAGATTTGTTTTGATATTCGAATTAATATAATTAACAATTGTATTTTCCTTTAAATTCTTATTTCAAAATCAATTATTATTAAACGATTATTAAATAAATAATGAAAAAAGATGAAATAAAGAATAATCAAAGATATTTTTGGTTGAATGGTACATTCTACATGATTTCGTGAACTATTATATAATTATAATATAAGCGCATGTACGAGTTAAGTATACATGAAACAAGGAAGTTTTCGTTTGTCTCCAATCTGTTCTTTGCGGTAACTTATTCTACGCCGTTGATGTTTGGTTTCTGTTCGAGGGGTCCATTCTAAACTTTTATATT